TAGCTGATAACTCAACAAACCATTACAGTTCCTTTGTGTTACTTAGTCCAACCCTGTCTCTTACAGGGTGGACTTTAGCACCCCCGTTATCATTGTGGCCTACACTGTTCTGAGTTGTGCTACTACTCTCCCCACCCCCACCTTCCCATGCATGTGCATTTAGGGTAGGAGGTGTGTTCTTAGATTTATGACATGGTCTAAGGAGCTGACACATCAGTAATGAAATCCTAAAGAGTGCCTGATTGAAAATGCTGGTTTAAAGATTTATAACACATTAGTTTGCTTCTGACTGTGCTTGGCCTCTTAGTTTAGATCAGTGGTTCTCAAAGTGTGTGGCAGAGTTCTGACAGGTGCAAGTTACCTGGCAGAAAAGTTTTGTGGACCTCATGTTTAACATCGGAATCACTTTTACAGCGGAACAAAGAAATTTGTGGCAATTACATTAATAATATGCGCATCTGCTGCAGCCACGTGTGTAAGTCGACAGCCACAATAAAGAAGTGTGCTGAAAAGTGTGAACATGTGGTCGGGTCTACACTTCTTTACTGCGGCTGTCGATTTACACACGCGGCTGCAGCTTTTCGGCTACAGCCTACACACATCAACAACAACAACAGGACCCAGTTCATTCTGTTTTAATCCGGCGAAGCGTGATTGGGGATGCCGCTCAGGTGTGTCCGTCTCCCCTGCAGCCGTGCCGCAGACCACACCCCGCCAAAGCTCTGCAGTCAAAAACAGGCTCACTACAGCCAATAAGAGTGAATAAACTCTCAATCAATTCTATATTTTTCATCTGTGTTCACAAGTTTCTGGATTTCTTTTTCTTTATAAGACTAAGACTGAACTTTATTTTTGTTTGTCAATTTTTACATTCTGTTTAACTTGTTGCTCGTTTGAAGAAGTGGTGCAGACTAGTGAAGCAGTTTAGTGACAAAAGTTATAAATAGTTGTTTGAAATGAAAGTTATTTGTTTAAAACAAGTTACTGAAGGATTCATTGTGAATTTATTAGAGTTTATTATCTAAATAAAGTTGCAGTTAGGCTTTTCTGTCATTATTTTTATTAGATGTGGTGTGAAAACATTTCTTCAAAGTCGGAGAACCGCTGGTTTAGATCAAGGAACTGTCAAAGTAGTCCAGGCCCTTTGATCACATTATGGTTAATTTTTGGTGGGGATGTACCAAGTGGGGCAAGAAACAGGTTTGAATGTGATGATTCAAAACTGTTCATGTTTATATTGTCTTGATTTTAAATAGTTAAAGAATAGGTATACGTTCTAAATATATGTATTTTATTTTATTTAGAACTTTAGTTTTGGATAATCATCTTTAAGTGGGAGATATTTATTTTTCTTTTGTTTTCTAGAAAAATATTTTTCTTCGTTAGTTTTTCTAAAGTATGGCCAACTAATCTGCATTGTAATTGTGACTATGAATAAACCACTGCTGTGAAGTAAAGGGAATAAAAACTGGTGAATACGCTCAGGGGCAAAGGTTAAACCAATTGAAAGTGTACAGTGGAGGGAATAATTACTGGGTACCCTGCTGAATTGCTCACTTTGAAAGAAATGAACAGTCTCAAATGGAGAGAGACAGAATATAAACCAAAAAAATCCAGAAAACAACTTTTATTTGCACTGTATAGAGCGAAATAAGAATGTAGTCTGCAAACCAGCCAAAATTCTGGCTCCCACAGATTGTAATCTGTGTGCCACACGGGTACACAGCCAATCAGTGAATTGCAGATACTCCTGATCTCAGCGTGTTATATGTATAAAGCTCACTATTTCACAGAATCTGTTTGTTTCATTCCAACATCTCCACCACCATGGGTGAGACCAAAGATCTGTCAAAGGGACAAGATTGAAGATCTGCATAAGGTTGGAATGTGCTACCACACCATCAGCAAGAAACTTGGTGAGAAGGTGTTGGTGTGGTTTTTCAGAAATGGGAGAAACATAAAATGACCACTGGTCGCCTTCAGTGTGGAGCGCTTGCCTCATATGGTGAAGATGATCATGTGCCCAAAAGTACACAGGCGGAGCTTGTTAATGATATCAAGGTAGTTGTGACCACAGTCAGGAAGAACACCACTGATGACACACTAATGGCATAATGGACTGAAATCTTGCAGCACCCAAAAGCTGGATGGTCTTCCAGTATGACAATGACTCAAAAATACAATCAAGGAAACAAAGAGAGGGGCTAATAAAGAAGAACATTAACGTCATGGAGTGGCCTAGCCAGTCTTCAGACCTCAGTCCTGAAAATCTGTGTAGGGAGCTGAAGCCTCAAAGTGCCAAGTGGCAGCCAAAAAACAAACAAACAAAAAAAACAGGATTAAGAGAGTTTCTGTAAAGAAGAGTGGGCCAAAAATCCTCCTGAGACATGTGCAAACCTGGTGACCAGCTACAAGACCCTAAAACTTTTATGTCACATGTTTTTCTGAATTTTTGGTTGACATGTTGTCTCTCCATGAAACTACCACTAAAATTAGAGACTGTTCATTTCTTTTTAATTAAGAAAACTTTCAAATTCAGCAGGGGATGAAATTTCCCTTACAGTATATATTGAAAACAGAAACATGCTCAGATGTTTGAGGCTTGTCAGATCCTTACCACTCTGTATCCTTCACTTCCTTTTGTGTCAGTGCAGGAATCCACCAGTGGAAGAGGAAGATGCCAGAATGGTATATCTATGTCAGCCTTTGTCAGGCATTTACAACAGGTGGTCTTTTTTGCCAACATGCCATGGAAGATCTGAAAAACAAATGAACAAAAACCTGTTAACATCTGTTATTTTTTTCCATCCTGCTTATAGATACCCTTTGATGAAGACTGTACCTGTGATGCCTGAGGACTGGTCAGTGTTAAAATCTTCTCAAAGTACTCTGCAGCGTCACGCTGTTCATACACTGAGTGCAGAGATGTTCAACAAAACAAGCCAATTATAAAAATGTTTCTTTAACTATGAACTTTATGGATTATGAATATAAAACTTCAAATGCACAGGTGATTTATAGAATTCACATGTTTTGTTGTCCAGTGTGTTAACATACTGTACCATTGTCAATGCCCAGCGTCTTTATTATTGCATCCGTCTTTGCAGTATGATTCTGTAAGTCTTCAAACAGTGCTTTAAGATGTTGGTCAATAAACTGAGAATTTTCATTGGTGTACCTAAACAAAGACACTGGTGGTCATGAGTGATACAAAACTCAGTTTTAAACTGCTAATCTAGCTGACATGAATACATTATGGTGCACGACAACGGACAACAACAAACCT